ATTACCTATTTTGCACATGATTGCCTAGTGCCGTACTGCTAGAGCCAAAAGCATCATCCGAGAGATGGAATAAAGAGCATGTAACAGGGGGATGAAGTAGAGTGAGCCGATATCGCCCTGTGTCTTCGTCAGCCCCCCCCCCCCTCCCCACCTTCCGTCTCCCCACTCCCCTCCCATTCCAAGGCGCAGCATGTGACTTGGCACAGGTACGCTTTTCAGGACATGGTGGGAAATGAAGTCGTGCATTGTATCAACTTGTTGTGGTGTGATGTGAGAAAAACATCCCACCCAGACTGGACTAACGGACTAGGCGTGGTTGTGTTAGCTGAAGGTTAACTGAAGAGGACGCCTGGTTTTTTTGGGCACCTTCGGAGTCACATTGCACCCTATCATGTCATGTTATGGAGTAGGTGGATGTAGGGTCTCGTTGTGTATGATGTATGGATTTTGGCAGACGAAGGTGTCGTGGTAGGCAACTGTGTCTATGGTACACCATACACAGGTGTACATTGAATGGGTGACAATGTAGGCGGGCTCTTGTGGGCATGACGTTGTGCACGTGCCTTAGAAATGTTGCGTAGGTAGCGGGAAGCGGGTGGATTAATTGGAGCGAACTAACCAACAAAACATTCGTTTGGCCTAAGGGTGTTGCAATAGAAAAGCTGGTGCCCATCACAAGTCACTAAGCAAGCAAACAGTCCATTGTCATCGATATAATTGCACTTTTGTAAAAGGAGAAAGAATTAAAAGACTTCAGCTATGCTTCATGCGTGATGGACTTCAGAGGAAATCGTTTATCACAAATTCCTCGTTGAAGACATACAACCTAAGTGATAGCAATAGTTAGAATTTGTATCAATGAGATGGCCTCGAAAACGTTGCCCAATCCATTCTATTGGCAGTAAAATCAATCATAAAAGAGCTTTAGAACATCCAAGTATCTTATTAACAAAACAATTCTAAAAATATAGCCAGACCTTGGAGCTGCTGTTTGCTATTGAACTAAAATCACCCAAATTATCTGAAATCAATAGATCAATGTTTCCTGTTGTCCCATCGACTTCGCTAGATTATGACGTCATTACTATGTACAATCGGCAGACCGCAGTAGTTGTTGCATCTGTGGTTTATCTTACGCACTATTTTGGAGCTAAGCATGCATTTTCTCATTTTTTTCCGTAAATAGCACAAATTACTGTCTCTAGGGGTAGTTTTGATGACCTCCTCAAAAATGAAATGCTCTTTTAAATGATTTTTTACGCTCTCGCGTACTCCCGGAAATATCTGCCTTGCTTATACGAAGTAAGAGAATTCTAGTAATTCCCCAATCCTTAAATTAAATTCGCAGTAAATTCGCAGTTACAAATCCATTAAACGTATCAGTTACCGTTATAATGAATAATAACTTCATGATTGGCTTCATCCTCAGTCTTCTCATTCGTTCTTCATTAGTGACCTTGCCTGTCCAATCAGACACCCCAGCCAATTGCGTACTGATCTCTGCTGCTTCACTAGGCACTGCAAATTTCTGCCTCACCGGATTGGCTGCACGGCTTTGCAAACGTCGCGTGTGTGCTCCCCTTAGTAGCTTGAAGCGGGGACAAAGTTTCGTGGTGCAACACTGGTTGACTTTTCCTCTCACTCGGACCTATGTGCTTCCTTATCCGTATTACTGGGCCCAAGGAGACTAATGAAGCTCAGCCCTCCTCACCGGGCTCTGTAGCTCTGAAGGAGATGAAAATGGAGGAGGTAAGCCCACAAAAAGTATCTTTTCATAAAATCTTTAAAAATGAGAGTTGTCATTTTATGTTTTTTAGATATATGAGTAGTATTTTCTATTGTTTAGCTCCATTAAAAGTACTTAAGTTAGTCATATTCCATGATCCCCTAATAAACGACAGTTCCCACTGTGACTATCTGGGATACTAAAAATGCGTCCGTTTTGGGTGCCACCCAGTGGTCCAGATGAAAAGAACAACTCTCTTAAGGTTTTATAAGCCGCTAGTTAGTCATTTCTGACTTTTACCTTGAATAACGAAGTTATTTAAAATGATGCAGCAGCTTCAATTTATGGGTTTCGTCTCTAGCCCTCTAATCGGGATAGTGATGGGGCAAATAGGTCATCCTCATCATCACTCTATTCCATGTGTTGTGGTCAGCCTGTGAGTTATACACCACGCGAATTCCATGCGCCCGACGTACTTTTTGTTGAATCATGACTGACGTCTTGTTTTGCCATTGCAAAAAAAACACCTTACTGCTAAATATTTTGATCACTCTCATGCTTATTAGTCGACGATTAGACACTGGAACAGTACTGGATTTTGATATTACTTGAATCAACACACCTACATGGTGAACACTAGTTATTGAAGACGGAAAACGTTGCTTTAGTGAAACTTCATCACTTTTCGACTGCTATGAACAATTACAAGGTTATAACCCGTTTAGGCAATATTTAGACTTAAAAATCTCTTACCAGCACGTCTTGCCCGTTTTCCGGTATTCTTCTAACAAGCACACTGATACGGCAAATCGCTCAGAGTTTGACGACAGCTATAAATAAGCGAAATTAGACAAATAATTTTCGGTTAGATTTTGCTTGGGAGTTCCTCTCGACACTAATTACATTTTGGCAAATTACAACTTTGCATGTTTTGATGTAAGCAATTGTTTGCGTCTAACACATTAAACACACCAATCATTCCTGTCCAAGGCTGTTTTTTCATTGATAGGAGTCCGGAACTCTACTAACTTCTCGATTATTGTGAATTATTATCTAAATCCAGGACTTAAACAAATTCCAATTTTCCCGAGTCTTGAAACATGGTAATTTTTAGGTAGCTTTCCATCGTTCTCTTTAATTAGAGGCGATAAGTATTTAAAATTTCCTACTCTTGTTGATTAAGAAGCTGTCACTTCAACTGCTGCCTTATACTACCTACCATTCTATTGTTACTCTTATAGATAACCCTGTTCATCTTGTGTCTTAGCTACTTCCCTTCACACTTGACAATTGTTCTTACTTAAAGATTTACCTCCAGGACTAGTTTGCTGATAAAATGAACTGTCATTCGCTGCTCGGTGTCTTACGTTCTTAGATTCCATATTCACGGTGTTTCCCAAGTCTCATGGTACAGTAAGTAGTATCGTTTCAACCTATTGTTTAGAGAAGAAAGATTAGTGCTTTCATCTGTGATGGGTTATTATTGAAGAACCTTGGTACCATGCATGAACAAAACCATAATAAAATGGATCTTAGTTAGTTTAAATTAAAACAACATTAAGCATGAGTTAATTATCATTTCTAGTACCGTTTCGATTTGGCTACAACCTTTGAGTTCCCCTTTATTTACTACGCTTATTAGTTGTTCAGATTTAAACCTCTGTATTAGTAGTTTGATTAACGCAGTAATTACTAGAACCTTTTTTACATCTCTACTGTTAATCATTCGCATTCCTCTGCGATAAGAGTAAGCCCCTTTTTCACATGTCACTTTTCAGTCTTAAATCTCGGCCAGGAAAAACCCCACAGTGTACTATCAGTTGTTTGTTTAGCCGCCTGATAATGCGTTTTTGCAAATTTATTTACTGTAAATCCAACCAAAATAATGAATGTTTGGTCTATTAGCTTTATCTCCCATCGAGAATTCCTGGATTCCTCCGTCGTTTTTTAATTCCATCTGGCTTTAATACCTGATCATTTTCGTAAAGTTAATTGCAACCTTGTATCATTTGGTCGCTTGAAACGCATGAACTCCATTTTCAATTTTAGTTAATTCACCAGATATTCGTGGAGGAAAATGTAACACACGATACCTGGCAGATCAGTAGAAACGGCAAGTACTTTGTGGTAAGTAGTCCATCAAGTCCATCATCAAATCGCCTCTTATGAAGCCATAACTGCCTGCTTTCCGACATCTGAGTCAGTTTACGTTCGTGTACAATTAGTGCCAAGCCAAAATAAGTAGATTACCAATTGCCAAAACATAAGTCTGACAGAATCAAGTTACCTGTTGAATTCCATGTCTCATTTTACAAACTTATATTGGAAGCAATCTACATCTTTGTCGTTTTTTAATCATTTAGGCTTTAAAATTAATTTGAAAAAAAGCCTCAGATTCCAACAGGCAACCGCTACTTGTCCACAGTTATTTGGCGTTAAAATTCTGTCCCAATTCATATCATTTTGATTGGAAATAGTTTATTTCTTTCAACGCATGTGTAATCACCTAACCATAAAGATCCCAGATATGCGATTAAGGTTTTTGAGTATCTTCAAGTGGTTTGATTGAGTCTCCTTGCCTCACTTCGTCCTCCCACTTTTGTCTATTTATCCGAGAAAAAATTTCGCTGCTGATGTTTTCCAAAGGTCTCCTCGTATTCCCTGCACATATTTTGCTTAAAAAGCAACCTTTAGTCGTTAAATATGTCGCTATTTGCCTTACTTTTTCGTTCTGTTACATTATCCAGTCCAGTAATCTGATCAAAAATTTTTCCACAGGTTGAATTTCCGGTAATTAGCAGAGCCTTCGCAGAAAAGATTCTAGACCGTCTGTCCTACTATAATGTGGGCAAAACAGAAGACTCCAGCATAATGTGAGTTCCTGTGGTTATCCACTTTCTCCCCCTTCTAAGGTGACCTTTTCTTTCCTCTCCCTAGGGTCATCGATCCCGCTGCTCTTGTCTGCAAACGTTCCAAGTAAGATTGCCGATCAAAGCCCTCGCCTCTATTCATCTAGTTGTTCTTTGATTATTGGTCGAATTCTTCTTCCAGGGTCAAGGGAGCTCACGACATTCCTGTGAAGCATTTTCAAAAATTCGTCAATTCTCTCAAATCCCGTCTCACTGTTGCTCAAGTAAATTATCGTTTCTTTTACTTATGCTATCCTTGCTCATCGTAAGTGTTACTAACGCTCCTACAAGTCCTGAAGATGTTATTTAGGCTATTGGTGATGGTTTTAAAGTAGTTTGAACATTTTTACCGTCTTCCTGTTCTATTATTTTGTTTGAGGAGTTCCTTACCTAGAAACATTGTTTACCTACATTAGCTTAGAACTAACGAATTAATCCTCAAGCACCTACATCGTATATCAATTGTGGATATTCATCACGCCATACAAGGTGGACTGACGACCCATGGAGTAAAGTTCGGTTTGGTCTAGTCAAATTTGTTGACCCGCACGATGTTTAAAAATCAAGGGAATTCACACACAATGTATTCTGGCATTAATTAAAATTAGCTTCTTATTTCTTACCTGTGTTGTTTTACTTGAGTTAGCGCCCTCAGTTCATCTGTTCTTTACGGTATTTTTACGATGCTACATTTATTTGTCAAGCGTTATATGGTTGCCAGTTGACAATTACCTGTCATTCATACTGCATTATTCACTGATACCTCCTGAAATCTGCTAATATTTTAGAAAAAGAGACCGGTCTTTTTAAGTATTCAATGAACAGTAGCATTTAAAATTAATACGTCTGTTTTTTTCCCTACCTTGTTGACACAATGGCATCTTCCCACTTTTCCAGCTAAAGAAGGCCTCTGGTGCCCCTAGCGCTTGAATACAATGAAATTAACGCTTACATGCCTAAGAATAGGTCTGGCAAGACTGCTGAGTATAGCAGCAGCAGCTATTGCTACATCCCGTCAAAATCTGAGCATTTTCTTACACAAATTTAATAATTGTAAGTTAGTCTTTTGATTGCTCCACAACCTTGTTTCGGTTGTCTACAATCTAAAAAATCTCTTTGATATTGCAACTTCCACCCATTCGCATCAAATAAGTTTAAGCCGTTGCTATGATGAAAAATAATCGGCGAGGAAAAACCACGTAAAATGTGTCATTTTTCGAAATGAACTCCTTTTCGATCTAAATTGTTTGTCCAAGGGGACACAAGTGTACTAATTCCACTGTCCCTCTCTCACCCCTATTTCCCAATCGTCTACGATCTATTGCGCACAACACCCCGTGATTTTATAGCGCCATAATGCTAGTGCAATGGCCAACAAAAGTAGCAATCGTAACCTGAGAAAGTTTCATCAGGGTGTGGAATAAAAAGCATGCGACAGGATGATAAAGCAGGGTGAGGCTGTATCCCCCTGTCTTTCTCCCCATCCCCTTTCACCCCAAAGTGCGGTATGATGACAGCGTAGGTATGGCTTTCGGTAAGAGATGGGACATGAGGACCTGCATTGTGCTATCTTGCTGTGTTGCATCGATGCGTTGTGGTTTGATGTGAGAAGAAAAGCAACATTTCCCTCAAACTGGACTAATGAACTAGTAGTGGTTGAGCAGGCTAACGGTTGACTGAAGAATGTGCCTGGTTTTCTTTCACACCTTCGAAGAAGATCTATATAGAGTCATATCACTTCATATCATGTTATATATGGAGTAGGTGAGTGTCGAAACTGGTTGTTGTATATTGCGTGGGCTTTGGGAAATGAAGTTGTCTTGGTAAACATCTGCGTCGGAAGTGCAGCGGTTAGGATGTAAGTGTTCTCTCGTGGGAATGAAATGGTGCGTGCTTTCGAAGTGCTGGTTGGGCAGTGGGTGGTGCGTAGTAGGAAGTAAGTGGGTTGTTTGAAGAGAACTACCCAATTATAGGTTCGTTTGGCCCACACTGTTGCAATGCAGAAGCTAGTACCCGTCAAAGGTCAGTAATTAAGCGAACAGAGCATAGTCAACGGTGCATTTGCACTTTTGCATAAGGAGAAAGAATTGAGGAAGTGAAATGGCGAAAAGTGGAGAGGTGGAGAACAAAGGGGTACTCCTTTGAGTACAGTATGTTATCTGTCATGTGTGATTGGGCATACTACTAGTGCATATGAGTGGAACCCATTTGCTTAGCCTCCCCACATCTATTCAGACAATGTAGGTGTTAACAATTGTTACACAATCCCTCAATTGAAAAGTAGCGGAAGGTTGTTCCCTACGCATTGATCTCCATTTAATGTGTCTAGAACAGAAGATGCTTATTGGTGCAATACATCTACCTTTGAACAATCCATCACCAGCGACGAATATTTTTTAAACCATTTCTTTTAGACGATTTAGCTTTACTATTACATTTATCCAAATTCCGTGAGACGAATAGTAAGGGAAGCTTCTGTAAGTGTAAAATCGAGTTACAATGAGGTTGCAAATTGTATCCTTTGAGTTCGGCTGATAAATATTATATGACGATTTAAGATAGTTATGTAGTAGTGAATACAAGGAAGCGAGTCGGTTCGTTAAGTCGACGCATTTTTATGCTTCATGATACATCCCTATAAACAACTGCATATATTTGACAGGTTCTTACAATTTCCAACAAATCATATTTACTAGCTGTGCTGAAAACCGAACCAACCTTTGTTTTGTCTCTTGATAATTTTGCAGGATGCACCAAAATATCCAAACAACTACATTATATCCTCTCTTCTAATTCCATTCACCCCTTCGAAGTGGTTGTGAAATCAAAGGAACTATATTTCAGAAAAGAACAATGCATTCTTTAATGATTATTCATTTTTAAAATACTTTTTGGTTTTGTAGACGTTTCTTATAGCATGCTTAACCGGGCTCATCAATTCTGATTGCTGAATTGGTATCTTGAAGCTAGTTAAGGCAACTTTTTGCACTTGGATGCCACATTAACATAATCTTCATGGTATCTGTTTTTCTTCAAAGCCTCAATCCATTTCAACTTCGAAATGGTTATTAGGTCTACATGTTTAAGGTTATTTGGATTTAAGGCTAATCCGGATTTCCCTTTTCATTAAGAGCCCCCCAAATTGCAGACAACTTGGAAGTTAAATCTACACTGAGCCACAACTAATGAGAGCTCCATTAACGCAGTTAAAGTTTACCTACCTATTGACCTTTACGATACTCATGTACCATCCACTTTGCATTTTCTGCTACTTTGAAACCTGTTTCATTATGAAAAGGGAATTCATGGCATTTTTAAGTTCAAAATGAACAACATATTGTTAGTATTTCAGACCGAGGTATTCCGGTTCATCTTGCAATATACGTGGCAGGTGTCTTCAAACACTTTTTCCATGCTTAAGAATTTTGTTGCTAAGTTTCTCTGACATCATCTCACTCGCTTTCTGAAAGAACTTGACAATCTTTGTGTAGCCGAAAAGCACTTTAGCAAATAGATACCCGGTGGATGCCCGTCTTTAATGCATAGTTGGACATGAAACCCATTTATGCTATCAATGTCCAATCACTCACAAAATCCATAAACAATCTGCATCACCACTTAAACTGAAAGTAACAGTTTTTCATCAATGGTTCTAGCTAATAAGCTCTTGCATGGACCCTGACAACAGGTGATAGATGTAAGACCTGTTGCCCTTGCTGGTGTATGCTGGCTAGTGTTACCTGCCTCTAGGTTTACCACGCGATCAGCAATCAAGGTAACTTCAACTTCAACTACCTCTGCTTCCTAATCTGTGCTGCCATTGTGTCTGACATCGCGTTGGTCACTGACTCTGCTGCCTGTGTCTTCGCCAGTATGCTCCTCTCTCCCCTCATGGTATGTTGATGACTTCGTAGCCTTATCAGTCGCATGAACAAATCGTGCTTTGTTAGTGAATGAAGAGACGTAATATGAACTTATTTTGTTAACATCGCCCTAGATGCCAATTTTACTGGGCATTGAGGCCTGATTAGTGAGCCCTTACATCTCGCTAAGAGTATGATCGTTAAATGTGAGCTTTGAAATGTAAAGGCAAACGTTGCTGCCGAATTGGGCTTAATTTTAAGGATCACCTCAGGTTCCCTATATGATGCCTACCTAAACCACTTCAACCTGTCTGCTACACATTGACCCTGTAGTCAAAAATTGCAAATTGTTTATGATTTTTGTTATAAAATGAATTAATCAAAGGATAATTATGAAATAAAACGCAATAGTTTTAATGGAACGTGAGCTTTGATTGTTTCAAGTAGAGCTATGCGGACATGTTAACTCTCTCCCACTTCAGGAAATTGAGTAGCCCATACTTAACTTATCAATATTTGATGTCGTTACTAAAAAACTGTTCTTATGGATCACTAAGTTGAATAACAGTTCCCATTAGAAAGGAGAGATCTGAAGTGGGTGTATTTTTAGGGAGCAAGGTCTACTAAACTGGTTAAGTAGGACATGAATTCTGCAAATTTTTTTAAGGTGTTGATCTGGTAATGTTTTTTAGTTTGAGATTAGCTGCAAAATGGAAGCTAAATTGAGCTCCTCCTTTTATCACTCGTGATCCTTTTTTTTGTCACATTCGGAAACTTTTCCGAACTGCAATATTTTTGAGATGTTCACGGCATATCTGACACCAAGATCAGCAAGGTGACAAATGGTTGAATTAATGACTACTTGGAAGGAGGATCACTGGTCCTCCATTCCTTGTATCCTGCTCGTGTTGCAGTCTATCGTTCAACGCATTAAAACATTCGACGCTTGGGATCAACAACTAATTCTTTGTTCTTTTGTTTGATCAATCAGATCACAGACTGGGCCACACGTAATCTGAGATACATTGTGCACATTCGTTTCATATTAGGTCATCCACGCGTCAAGATCTAAAATTAAGCGGATAAAACTTCTTAACTTCTTCTAAAGCATAAAATTAGGGCAAGCATTGAGTTCTACTTTCTTAGCTTACAAACAAGGGCGGTCGATTGTTGCGACAATGGTTATTTCGAGCATTACTGTTGCATCACTCGCAGTAGCCATACTTCAGAGCTCAGCCAGCACATTAGTGATTTCCAAAATCAAACTCACAGACAGAAACATTTTCCATAATTTGGTTCTTATGTCAGCTTACACGAAGTGTCCATTCAACAGTAGCACAGGCCACTCTTTAATTATCAGCAGCCTCGCAAAGTTTGACCTTTGAAAAGGTTGCAATCACAAATCGTGATACTTGTCCATTTGGCAGAACAAAAGGTCGCGTTTAAATGTACTTTTCAAGCCACAATAACTTTCAAATCAGACAGTTTATAAAATGTCTGGCCTTTAATATCGCCTGTGAATGATTTTCTACCTCATCACTGAAATTATTACCCATAATCCGTTTCTCCCAAAGAAAGAAAAAAGGGGCAATGTGAGTTAATTGGAGGTGGGGAACCTACACCTAGTCAGCATCTTACGCCCAGAGATGTTTTTACAAATGGTCGATCTTAAGATCTGCCGACGCAAAAATGTATCAAAGTCACTAAACAATAAAGCCAGTTTCCTTTGCCGTTTCCAACCTCAAAGATGAGTTTTTCGCAGCGTCCTGAAAATAGTAAGACAAGCATGCCTTTGATTTGGTAGGGCTATTGCTAGTCCGATTTAAAAAATTGATAATGTTCCGGATTTTTTGAAGGTTGCATGAATTGCCCGTTATTCTTATTTATTTTTTTAGTTACAACGTAAGCCTATTTAAAGACTCGTTGTCAAAAGACGCATAGCAGAATCGCCATTTCCATTTTTGCCAACTAGATACAAAATGACTGCGCAGAATTTATTTTTGGCAATTAATTCCGAAAGACGCCAATCGGTTTTTCCTTTTCAAGCTGATCCATTTCCTCTTACCTAAATTTTTCACTCCTGTGTGACGTGAGGCCCTAGGGGGAGAAGTTGGGGCGTCTTATATATGGAACCCTGACAGAGGAGGTGTTAAATGCTCGGCGTACTTATTGAAACTATCTCACAGTATCTGCATTCTTAATTGAAAATGCATAATAAACGCCGTTACTAGTTGCACAGTCTTGTGCGTCAGAACTGCAGTGTTTACCCAAATTACATTTGTGTAATGATTTATACCCTGTTGTCCCTACCTTGCAGGAGCCCATAATGTGTATCATTTTTGGTCTAAGTCTTCGCGAGCGACGAATGACTATGAAGGGATTCAGAAACACCTCTGTCTCCCTTGTCATTTGCATCATCGTGGGTAAGTTTGTGTTCAACGAAAGGACGTCGCATAGATCGAGTCAAGTTCGTGGCTTGGATTTTCTTTCAGGCATTGCTTTTGGTATTCCCGCGCACTTTATCAGCATGTTCCAAGGCATTTCACCATATCCGACTAGCGAGATGTCTAGCAGGTTGGTGGGGTTCTCATAATTTTTATCACATTTTTAACGTACTCAACCCCCAAAAGGTTAAATCCACGTTGTTACTAGATGGTTAGGTTACTCACAATCCATGAGCCGTGTCTACGTTAATTATACTACTAGATTTTAGGCCTTATTACGTCTACTACATTATTCATTGCAATCTGATTGTCTATTCGTTGATTGGCCCTCAACACATTTTTATAACGTTAAGGGTTACCCGGTTGGTTCCTAGTGGTATGTGCAAATCATTTATAAATTATTCCTGAATTTGCCCTCATCATTATGTATCAATTGGAACTAGATTCTAGTGGTGAGGGATCCATTCTTATTCAAGCGCCAACATTCGTGCCGCTTATTTTTGATTGCTTTCTTTGTTAAAACTGTGCCCTGGTACCCAATTTATGAATGACTGCTCCTCCTTTAGTGGAACGACCCTTGGAAATGAATTAATTTATTTTCATTATGCCTCATGCAGGCCAAGCAATTTTATTCGTGTTTTTGAGTTGGAATTGAGAAGTACGTTTTCACTGCAAAACGGTTCATTAAAAAATTGACACGTAGCGTGGAGATATGGTTTTCAACTAAGATACACTAACACATTAGACAGGCAATAGACCAAAGCTTTTAATAATGTCGTTATTAGCTTCAATTACTGCAACAAAATGGCTTAAATGACACCTGTATGCATTTTGATGTGCTCGTTATTCATGCCAACCGCATATTCCTTATCAGGCGACACGAAGAAGCCTCAGTCATTTTGTGTTGGTGGTCGCCCTAATATCACCGAGACACGATTCTACGAAGTTCACACCAGAAGTTGGGGCACTAGTTATGGAAAGTAAAAGGATGGTAAAATTACCAGGTTATTCAAAACTACATTGTGCTGGGTGCATAAAAAGGTGTCAAGTCTTGCTTAAATGGGTTAGGCTTCGTTAGGAGGTGTCATTATTTTCAAAATGTGGGATTTGCGGCTAATAGTTTCATTATTGTGTCTGAGGAAGAGTTGCATTGAATCGTCGGTGTTAGCCTACATGTGCTGAAAAAAACGACCATTCCCTGACCGTTTTTGACCATTAGTAGTACCTCTATTCTTTTAATGAAGAAATGCCAGAAGAGATCAAAAATATTATAGCCATTCTCTCCTGGGTCGTCCTGGCTATATGAGAAGTGGTTTTGGGGACTTGTTAGGTCACTAACGCAAGCGAAGATTTATGCAGAAAACTGATGCCAAATCGCGATGGCCCCCATTGATTTGCTGAGACTTTTGTCGGTCCGGGAAAAAATCGACAACTTCTGCATTAAATCATGGAAAAGGCCTTTTTTTCACTTCCGGTGGTGGCCGTTGTGGACAGGTGCCAGTAGCTGTTTTATCTATTAAAAGTCAATTTGACCACATTTAGAAGGCAAGCCATTTGAAAATCCCCAAACATGACTGATAAATAAACGGGGGCGCTAATCACACCTATCCATTGAGTCTGCGTTGAATGAGAGGCTTTCACACTGAGGCTAAAAAGGGAGAGCTAGTTTTCCTGAAGGCTTCGTAACTAGACGAACGATCATGTTGTCATATTCCTCTCAAGAAAATCGCTCGACGAGTCTCGGCCTACCGAATTCGTATTTGATCACCAAGATCTATGCAGCAGCAAATGAATGGTAGTGCAAGGCGATTAAACTAGGGTAGCTAGAGGGCCAAATGTTGAGATGGTCTAAATCATAACGCTTTTTTGGTCTTTTTCTTCTGGACCATGTCGGCTACGTAGGAAAAAGTAGGATCTTGCTTCAACACATTGGACTTAGCTAGGCGCCGTCAGCATGTGGCTTTCGCGTCAGATTTGGGAAGTAAGAGATAGAACTAAACTATTAAGAAGTCAGTTTGTTTTGCTAAAAGCATTGCTTTTGAGCAACTGTTACCTATCTGCTAATGACTGAAACACTCGTTCAAATTTTCACAAGTTTTAAAATTAACACTTGTTTTGGACCAAAAATTTCGCCTTTTAAGCACTTCATCCAGAGAGACGCAAAATCTGCAAGCCTGCTTTTCATTTGACAGAGGTGAAGCAAAGGCTCTCATTGCCTCGATCATTGTGGCCTCGGCCTCGGGAGTGAGCGTATCCTTTGCTATCCTTTCCAACAGTCTTGCTGCGATGATTGGAAACGCCATCTCTCTCTCCCTTCTTCCGCCCTCTGTCAATTGCGTAAGTCAATTTTCCTTGCTTTGCTTTCGGAATCAGAACGTGTGGAAAGACTTGACATTAGTTGCTACTAGTCTTTTTTAACCACTTCAGCTACTGGTCATTAACTAAAAAAGCAATTTTCCTCTTTTTATAAACAACTTGCAATCTCTTTGCAGCACAATTTGGTGCAAATGGTTGCCACAGATTGGTGAAAGCCACGCTAGACATATCTATGATGTAGCAGGTTGTCGCCATTTCCCTCTTTTCGGAAAAGTAATTCATGATGGAAGCTAAGCCAATGGGCTCCATACGTATATTACTGACAGATGATGATAAGCTTTTTTCTTCCGCCTTCGTCTTATCATTAGGAAAGGGTCTTTTGCCGACTTACTGACTTGTGTAGCGAAGTGGCTTTGTACTACAATGTCCATTGGGCGAATGAACGTATCATAGGCTGGTTACTTTCAAAGAACCCATTCCCCAACCTCCCACCCAGCACCCTTCCCCATCCTTTTAGGGGGCGTACCACTTCATTCTCGCACAACTGCGCCTGCTTAGTGTGGTTGACTGCAGACAGATGTTATTGTAAATTGCTCACTCATTGAAGGCCAAACGATAGTTAGGAGTCGGCTCCATCTACTCAATACGATACAACTCGGTGGTCTACCAGAAAAGCTCCCTCTTAGCATACAGGATTAGTCAAGAAGTCAGCCGAATATGCTATTGTTATTTGTGCAAGAACACACTGCAACACCTCATGGTGCAAAAATTACCTGTGAAAAATTACATTCACCACAATTTCTTGGTTTTTTTATTATTGTTCGGAAATCACCTTTTACATGCGAAGTAAGTGCTAGAAATTTGAGCAACAAAAGTGAGACGGTGATAAAGAAAATAGGTTTTTTTGCTTCTGGGGACGAAATATTTTATAAAAGTGAGTTGTGCATCTGTTTATTCTTGATTTTTATGCTCCTCAGCCGCTTAACCTATTAACCAAGGCTTTCGCGCCAAAGCAGCGAGTTAATGGACTAGTAAACCAAAACTTCCTGTGACTGAACTGTCCACTTCCGCAAGAACAGGTAATTCCAAATGGAGCATTAGTCGATGACAACTTCAACAGATTGTTTGACCGATAAATTTACTTTATGGTGCCTGAATTCCGAACCCATGCGGAGAAGGGCATGATTAATCACTGAAAGAGAAAGGAGTCATTGACATTGTCGACTTAACTGATACGGGCCCAATTAATCATCCGCGATGCTCAATTTGGGGAGGTCAAGTCGCGCCTAACTGTCATGTGAATGATGGTGAATTGGACTTAAATACACGCTATCGAGTTCCATTTCATAGGCACGACGCTTACCCGACATCAGTGAACAGCTGTTCAGATGTCTTGGAAATTTTCATTTTCAAATTCCCAACTTAGCCTGTACCAACCCCGGGGTGAAGGCTCCACCGATCTGTCTAATGATTGTTCAAAATTGCTTCGATTAGGCTTTATTCAAACTAGTAAACAATAGCTGGGAAATTCCGGGCAAGATTTGTCCCGCACCATAGAAATATCATGTTATTTATGTGAGCGACTTGAGTTGAAAAAGCTTCTTTCTTTTATGCTACCAGATAAAATGGGTGACTGAGCTGCTAAAAATATGGTTATTTTATTAAACGCTTATAGCACCAGGATTCGATGAAGTTTTTTTACAAGAGGGCTTCTTGAGCTTTTAATATTAACTTTCAACTTTGACTTTCAGGGCCAGTTTTTTCTTCTCGCTGTGATTGCTCTCTTAGATCGTCCCTATGTTATGGTAAGTTGCATTTTTATCATTCGTTTCACCAATATACTTTAAATCTTCCAATTCCAAACTGATCTCGGTTCTATGCTCCATTCCTACTTCATGCCTATAACATTTATTAACGTAGCGATGAGTTGTAATTTGGTTACAAAATGCAAGATATAAAAAGGCCTCATTCATATGCATTGATAAGCATAAAATATGAAGAAATATGCTCTTTTGCGGCATAGCCATGTGACCAATCTCCCATTGGAAATGCAAAATTTGGTGGTTTAATGAATGACTATTCATTAAGCTTCGTGTTCACTGACTTTGACAGAGCTAATCATATTTTTGTCCATTGCTTTTTTCGTAATCGCTTACGTGTATCTTCATGAATGACTGAGTGAACTTTCGTTTGCACTCTTTTGAGGATGCCATTCTGCAGCGTTTGCAGCCATCCGTCTCCCGATCATCCGCTTTCATATCTAGCAAAGAGCACTTTGCGTTACCATAAGCAATCACTGGTGTTGTCGATTGCGCTGAAGCATACCTATTTTGCTGTGACCCGTAAACTAAACTAGTTTATTCCGCTTCTTCTCGTTGCTTGTATTAATTGCAAAGATTCTAATCTAAATGTCTTGCGTATACTATCTACGCGACATTTGTTTTATTTGAGAGATGTTTCAAAACGCACTCTCTTCATTTTGCTTGGTATGACATTGGCCATAGCTTTGCTTTGATAACATTAGCCACACCTCTCAAATGAATGAACGTTCTCGAAGCAAATGCTGTGGTTTGAATTAAAAATTTTCCAAAAAATTCACAGTGATGACTTTAGTCCTTTGCTACGTTTGCGTTGGTAGCGTTTTCAACTCCAGAAAACACTGCGAAACGCAAAAGGCCACAGACGCTTTACTTTGCAGTCTGGGTACTTATGAACGCTTTGAGAATTCAAGAAGTTGCCAAATCATCCACATGTCTCCTAATCTAGACTTCGATTGCAATATTCATTCCTTTTTGCGATTTTTTACCTTTACTTGGCCCACTGTAACAGTAGTGTCTCTATGACAGAATAATCTGCATTGAGATTAGCAAAGTCAACTTTTCTTTTCAATAAGGAGGTTTAAAAATAATTCTACTGTGGTAGCTCAGTGTTTTCTACCGCGTTTGTCATTTTGAAATTCAAATGGGATATTGTTCTGAGTTTTCGGTACACTTTGTTTTCCATAGCTAAGTACCTCAAGAAGTTAAAAGTAGCAGCCAATTTGGAGATGGTGCTGTGCCTCAAACCTTTTTGGGGATGTCATAAGGTGGGATTTTAGTAAAAATGTACGTTAGAGTTGATGAACTGTTAAAAGAAGTAACACTAACGAAACGTCTTCTCATACAGATGGTAACCGAAGTCTCGGAGACGCAAAAGCTGATCAGAGTAAATATCCACCCGTCATAACATAATATCGTGCTTTTTAAAACTTCAACTGCATCAAATTTGTTTATTGATCTTATCACCCTATTTTAGTCGTAAAAACATCCTTTTTATGAAGAATTGAGAATAAATCCCTTCATTAAAGTTTGTGCAGCGAGGTAGCCATCCTCTGGCAAAAGTTTGGGCAGTAACAAATCGTCAATATTTCTAGAACTATTAACGGGCAACCCTCGTACTCTAGGCATATATTCTCTTCCTGGTGCAAGTTGGTCATCAAATGGTTGTACAGACAGTAAATTGACCTTTTTGGCAAGCGAAGTGTCCATTCACTTGATGGAATCCCGGTTCCACCATCGATCATACGCATGCGTACACGTATCACGTCCAATGGTTGATCTATTCTCAAGTCTTGGAGGTGCTATGTCGGCAGAAAAATCTATAAGCAGGCATTGAACCTTTGTTGTCTGATAGGAAACCAAAAAGGCATAAAAATTATTCACTACTGCAGATAAACTTTTATAGCCTTTTTGAAGAATACAGTGTCTCTTAAGACTTTTTCTTTGTGGAGTTTATGATCTTGATGGCAAGTTTGGGTTAGTCTACCTTCTCTCATTTGAGTTCTTTAAACTTCCGTTAACATGGGTGATTAGGGTACCTAATTTTCAAGCACTTCTAGTCTGCATAGGTAAGATTAACTACTTAGTTTTGTACTTAGACAGATAAGTGGTTCCAAAGTTCAGAGCTCTTTGGAGAAACAAAACTCAAAAGACATATCGCATATTACGTTTAATTGCCTTTGCTTAAGTGTACTTGCATTTAAAAGGCTTGTGTTTAGCTACTACTTGTAACTCTACCTGATAGATATAAAATTTTGTGAAGGCGTCCCACTTCGATGTCGACCGCATTGTGCGTTAAATCTAGCATTGTGTTATTTTAAAATTGTTAATAGATTATCAGTCGGTCTCTTCTCAAGTTACAATACACATTGTAAGACAGGGATAAATTATTTTAACATTTATGATTGTGGCCGCATAAATTCTGCTTCATGTTGTGGAGTTGAGACAATAAAACATAACGAAATTTATTCAGCGGTTGAATTTTGACCAACTTCCACTCCGTCAAGTGGGATTTTAATCTAACAAATTTTCCGATGTATCATTCTCATGTATCGTTCAAAATCCTAATCTGCCGTATATTATTAGGCAGCGAAGTGTCCTACTTGCTTTAAATGCATGATTTTACTCACTTTTGTGGATAAAGATTAGGGGATGTTACCCATAACTGATAATTAAGGTTTATTTACGCCTAGAGCCGGGTGTACTCTATGGTAACTAACAACTTCACCTTGCCTTCAGTGCAAATGAATAGAAGTTATTTTGGCACGTATATTACTTATTATCGTGATTTTACTTATTCAAGCAGCTCTTAACTAACTTAATTTTACCGCCCCATGGAAATATTACTAATTTACTATATTGCTTTAAAAATCCTTACTTAAATTAAACAATAAGTGCTTTGTTTCTTCGTTGAATGCTACATTAATACGCTGATTTAAATTCGCAATATGGAGAAAGCATAGCTGTAACTCTGAGTTGATCACCCGCTTCTTTAAGACATTTTAAGGTTTGGCATTTGGAAACGCCAGCATAGAACCGAGAAATTTCGACCACACAAATCTTTTCCCTTCTAGCTTGTAAACTACTGAATGCACGTCGATCTACTTCAGTTGCTGGATCTGTGGTCTCTATCGAAGCACCTCTAAAAAGATGGCCGCAGAGGAGGTCATTTTGTTAGCATCATAGTTTTAGAAGCACTCAGTTTAGTTCGAAATTTGAATTAATGATTGAAAAAAAGGAACGCTATTATTATCTACGCGAGTCAGATTGTGCAGCTGATTAGGATCCACTTTGGAGTGGTTCCTTGATTACAGAGCATACACAATCCCGATTAGTTTTTACCTTAGGAAGAAGAGTCGATGTTTCTTCCCCTCCCCTCTCCTTCAAGTGAACTGCTCAAATTGAATAACCGCTTTAGCTTTCAATCCGCTTCAAATAATCCTATATTGTTTTTACAGTTAGTTAAATTGGATCTAATTCTTGAGTATTACCAAATACATTATAAGACTAGTTTCAAAGGAGCCTTTGTTTGCAAACATCTCAAACAAACATTCCATTCAAATGCAACAAAACCCCTTACGTGGGGCCTATTAAAAGATCCGAACATCCACTTCCTCGGAACTACTCGTGCTTTCATTTTTAATTAAAGGTGAACTCGGGGAGGTGGTAAGGATTATCGTCTAAAACTCCTTTTCTTAGTCCCAAAATACCTAATCATTGTTCAATTTCAGGGTTTGGCAGCACCGAAAAATTATCGCCTGGTACAAAATAGTTCTAGAGTACGGTAAACTATAAGGCCTACTAACTTCTAAAACCGACCTAGACAAGTTCTCGGTGGTTATTTAAAGAAAATAAAATCCACTTTTTATTATTGGTCTTGGACTCTGAATTCCACTTTAACATCCAAAATTAGCATTTATTTCACAAGTTATTCCCCATCGGGAAGACAACGCCCACTTCGTCTGTGGCTCCAAGAAGATAATGGCACTAGAATTTTGCTACTTTTTATGCAAAACTAAGTACGTAGCATTTTTTTGGTCTAACTATTCCACGTTTTTACCGGGGATTGCTAAAGCCATCTGAGCACCTTGCCATCACCGAAGGTGATTTCAGCTACTCCATATTTAATTGTGAGGTACAGGCACATAGAGGGTACAGTTTGAATCACTAGTGGATCAAATGAAATCGACAATCTAAAAAAAACCTTTGTTTATTCATTTTAAATTAAGGGATTTCTTTGACAAAGAAAATAGTGCTATAAAGCGCTGTTTTAAGACCTGGTTCAAAAGAAAGCCTTCTGCACGAACTTTACCTTGAAACAGTTTTACTTAGCCGGAACTTTAAGGATTGATGAAAGGGAACAAGCTGTAAATAGGCGCAAGAACTTATTCAAATTGCTATGATCACATGGATCCCTCGACGCAATAAGACTGTTCACTTTAAAAACAATGAAATGTGTCTACTCATCTAAATCAGGAATTTTTACCACATTTGTCATCATGTCCCCAGAGAAAATACCGATCATCAAAGTTCACAGTGGATGAGTCCAAGTTAATATTAGGCTGTTTAGCCCATTCGTGACGCGACCTATTGCAACCAGTTGTCAGGAATTTATAAAGAAATAGCGCCACACATAGGTGACTGGTAATGTACAAACCGATATCCAAAATGGTAAAACTAATTGAGACTATAGATTTAACTTAAAAGCTGAGAGTAGACTGTTATTAGATTAGTTGCTCTTTAAGAATAGCGGTAATAAAGGCTAATTTACAATCCGTTTGAATAAAAAAGTGTCACCCACCTCCAGCTCCAAATAGTAATGTAAATAATTATTATTTAGCAATGATAAGATAAAGTCAGAGGATTTTGATGAAAGGTGAAGGAGCAGGGCACTTATTAATGCCTGCAAAGTCCATTTTAGTTAGTTTTTACCTTACTTTTGAATAATGAAATTCTGTGTTAATAGCGGTTTAAAGGACTTAACGTCAATTGCCTGTTTTGGCTCCTAGACCTCACTTCTCTGCTTGTATTCAATTAAAGGCTCTGATTGAACAGCAAAAGCATAACATTATCAACGGCACTTAAAAACCAGGCTTAAAGTTTAAAACTTCTTCAGCAGCATAGATTTAGAAGTGATATCTGTAGTGTTCGTGGGCTAAAGGGCAGTAGAAAGGTTAAGAAAACTATTTTTTCCTCGAGAAAAAGACGGAGACCCTGCGGGAGAACAGCACAATCTCGGTGACCGTGGTGCAGTGCCAGTACCGGTGGATCAAGGATTACAGCTTCATTTACATTACCAACGCCTGTGATGCGCCCACTGAATTCGCCATCCGCGGTGTGGTCTCCTTCTGTCTTACTCTCCTTAATATTATTCTCATTATAATTACTGGCTACTCTGTCAATCGGGTAGGTGCCTTAACATGACTTTTCACTTGCTATGTGATTATTAAAATGGAGCTTCACCCCCTCCCCTCCCTTCTACTCTCTTCCTTTTGCAGCTGAAAGATCTGGTACCCCAGTCCTTCACGAACGATGAGACTCGAAGATTCTATACTAAGGACTTGAAGGTGAGTATGTATGTGAATGCAAGATAGAAATTAGTGTTCTATACTAACTAATCATATCAAGCTTACAGTTTTTTCCCTACTAATGTGAGTGTAAGGTGTCGAGGAACATTTGAACAAATAACATTTAAATGCATTTGGAAATCATTGAATGGTTTTCACCAAGCTTGTAAAAATTTTCGCTCTTGTTTCAGTATCGCCTATTAAATTGTTATCGTATCCAGATGTGCTTTAGCTTTCATTCAACCGTGTAATACGGATGCATCGGAAACGGTCATATAGATATAAAAATTCCATGATTTTTAATACCCTTCATAGGCTAAAATCTCTTTTATAAAGTTTTAGGACTTATTCTGATGTTTGCTGATTACAATATTTCCTGCAGTATTATGAGCCATTGATTTCGAATCAATGGCTGTTTTTATTTTAAAATACCTGGAAGTCACAAAACCCCCATTTTATACTCTTGGATTGGAATCGGCACCCTAAAAATCCATTAGAACTGTGTAAGTAGGCTTTGACGATGATCACCCAAGGGTTGATTTTAATATTTTGGGGATTAAAGTTAAGAACTATAGGAAATGTATGTACAATCTTCCACACTTATCATAAAGCAAGGAAGATCTTATATTCTTGATAGACTAAACAATAAGATTGTCATTTCAATATATACCCCAGTGAACTCTTTAAAAATATTGAAAATTAAAGCGGGGCTTCACTGTGCTACTTTTTCCATGGAGTGAGTTCACTTTAGAACGATAAACTATCTGCGTTGACGTGGCCTATTTTCCTGTGGCGGAAGGGCTAAACTCTAGTAGGGTATCATTTGTAAGTTGACAAATTGAAAGAATATTTAACCGTGTATCAGATGAGCATCTTGACATACATTTGACGCCAAGAGGGAGACGTTTGTGGTTAATTTACTTGTAAGTGGCCTGTTTTGCCGATAATCACACACCAACTACAGGCCGAATTCGAGAAGGCAAATACGTAAGAAGGATGAATTGACGGTGTTTCTTCATGATTCGATTCTACGCTGTTACGTAGTTTGTTTCTCAGGGGGTATTAAATGTAATAAACTCGGAACTGCTTACATGTTATGAGGTAAAATTATAGGTCAGCAGGGGGGACATTTCTCTGATAAACATCATTAAAATCTGGGCATCTATTGGACCTCAATGTAGGGGCGAGACTTAGTGCTTTTCTACGAATCATAGATTGCCTTACCTACAAATAAGGGTTCACACTTTTGAATGACAAATCACACCCACTGATGTCAAGAGAATACATGCAAATAATTATGGTAAACTGACAAATTTGGTCCTCAAGTTGATGTCCACAGCAGTGTTTCAATCAAATTATGATAAAATTAAAATGCGTTCACAATTGTGATGACGCACAGGGTACTAAAAATCCGAAGATATTTAACTGAGAAGCAGGTTATCGTATATGGGACTAAAAATCCACAAATGAAGTCACCTGCTAGGTGGAATCTATGGACGCCAAATAAGGGTCTGTAATTGTTATGGGCATTAGGCATGATACCTTCAAAGCATATATATCCTAGATACCACTGACAAATCGGTCACTTTAACGCTCACTTTGGTATTGTAATACAGTGGGAATCTTAAGCACTACCCCTTATAAATGTGATTTTTGATTGTATACTATAGGTGAAGCTCCATTATGATTAGTTCAACGAAGGTTGTAGTTATCAGGAGATACATAAACGTTTTTGATCAACTCAACCACCTGACCATTCAAGTATGATCTCAGTGATGCAAAATGCAAGTAGAGCACTTGAATTTCCAGAAATTGTCGTGTTTTCAGGCGAGGTATAACATCACAGATGTCGCCGATATCGTCTTGAGTGATTCTATTTAGAGGTGGAAGTACTTTGCACTATCCAGAGATGCCTGAACTTTCGTTTCTGCATAAAGGTAATCACACATTTGCATTCCTTCAGTATGGAATTGCTGGGATGGTAGGATCGGGACAGTGTTACACGCATTTCAGCAATCATAATGTGTTTTATTTTTAAATCCACGACTATACTTATTCTATTTACTGAGGCTTCGCATTTTGTGTTGAGTGTTGTAACTTCGACATGAATCGTTTCGGGGAATTTTGAGTCGTTGGCTTTATGAGCCGAAAATGACCATCCAAGTACGGTGCTGCATTGTGCCTATTTGAAACCACCATTTCGTTAGAGGACAAGTTTGTGAAGTTAGTAGTTGATGAGAAAACAGTTCATTGCTATCACATTGTCAGTTGTTTATCCGACTTGGGATTTCGATTACTAATGACCCATGTGCACTCGGAGTGCTGCGAGCCTACGTCTTCGCCGTACTGGAGCGGTCACCAGTGCTCACGAGAGGTCACCGTTCCAACGCATTTATGTCACTTTCGATTTATTTTGACCTCTTCGCAATGATTGTGCATTTAAAGCACGTCACCCGGTTATTCTTGACCAATGATGAGAGCTCAAGTCGATCATAAGTCAATAAATGAACAGGGACGCTCAAGAAGTGGGCCCAAAATGGGCGAGTTGTAGCTTCTAAACAGAATATTCTACAACGTCAACATGGGTTGCTTGTTCTGAGGCCTTAGACATCCCCAATTCGCAATGTCTGAGCAACACTCATTTTCATTTGTTCCAGACACATCCTTCGTTTTACCGTATAAACGTTTGCCCTTTTGAATATGAGATGTAGGTTAAACGCTACATGAATTTCAACTCACATCAGCTAAAATAACTTTGAGCATATTCGTATCGTGGTTTGCTATGAGAGCCAAGATTTCTACTACACTGTGTTTTCAACTACTTACCAGATTGATGGTTTTGCTAATTATTTTTTCAAACTTAAAATCATGAGGATTGGTCTCGCATCCATTTTGAATGTCCCCAAAGGGTAAAAATCATCATTTACTCCGATTGTGCAGTAAGAAAATCAACTTGTAGATGGAAATCACTAGTTTTTTTCTGACATGTGTGCTTGATCCCCATATACACTTAGTTTGAGCCCCTTGCTTAAGAGTAGCACAGCTTATCCTCCACCTTGATGTCCGGCAAACCACCCTTTGACGCCTTCGTTTGTAGGAGGTGCGCGACAACTACGATTGCGTGCATCGGCTGAAGGCAGCTGATTTGGCGGCGCAGGCCTACCAGGAGTACCTTCGCCTTTCCCTTCATCCCCCCGAGGGCGACTATACAGCGGAGGACACGGAACAACTCACGGCCAACTTTCAGGCCGTTATGGAGGTGAGTGGGTGAAAAGTGGTCCAAATCGTTGCTTATCACAGTTACGCCTTGATCTTATCAGCTTTTGGTGATATGTACGCTCTTCCGAATATCGCATGGATGTCTCATGTCTACTATTTTATTTACGGATGGAGGAAATCTAAGCAACTGTAAAATCGGTTGCAGACATTTCTTATACGTAATTCCTAGTCTTTACCACAAGACTGTTTCCACTCTACTAGAACATCTGTGTTACTGATGCTCTTTCAGTGTCTCTATGCTACTACCATAATTTTTAGGATGACACGATATTTATTCATCTAGAGATGAAATAAGTTTTAGGAGTACAAACGTAGTAGTTTCCTGAATTCACTGAATTTTATGCGTTCAATAGCCATTAGCACAAAGTATGTCCAATAAATTCGCTTAAATTTAGTTTTCCATTAGGAATTTTGAGGCCAAACGGGGTTGTTAGACCGGTCATGTCTGGACTTGCCATGCGACCTCTTCTGTCTGCCAATTGGGCTGTCACTGGATGCCGGCGGAAATGATACTTGAATAGCACAAAATGTGGGCTTTTTTCTGTCACATGCTGTTTGTGGGTAGGAGCCGTTCGGAGCACAAATGCATTCGTTTTTCACATGCGTGTTCAGCACGAAAGTGAAGTTTTATCCTAAATCTATAAACCTACCATTTCTGACATGACGGATTCTTAGCCTCCACGTTAGTTTCTTATGGAAACGAAGAACCACAGGAAATCATCGGTAATTTGGATGTAGATTCATATACACAGTGGACGCAAGGTGGAGAGCCGCGTATTCGACTCGGCTCACTTGGAATCAAGTAGCATTTACATCAACGTACGTTTTCTAAATCTCACTGCTAAAATCACCTTCAGAGCACTTACTTGTCATAGGTGCTGAGTGAAAAGAAAAGGAGTTTGCTGTCCCAGACTTCAGTATCGAGTAATCGTGAATTGGTTTTAAGGATATTGATGATAGATCATCCGTTTCTGCCAAATTTATCAAATAAACAAAACGCAATGCCTCATATTTTGCCTTATCTGACCCCTTCAGGGAATCGGTCACGATCCGCACATACAGACCATCGGTTCATGGACGCACTCAGGACATAGCGATTTTCTTGTAAGTTGCCTAGCCCACAATGGCGTCTTCTTCCTTCTCTACCTCTTACGTTCTTTTCGTTTATTTGTCTTCTCTCCTCTTCCCCCCCCCCCCCCCCCCCACACTTGAGGCCGAGTTCACTAGGGCAACGGAGGCGCTGTCTCAGGGCAGTGACAACCTAAGTGGGCCTGGAAATGGGACCAGCGGGCGAGCCTTCGCGCGCAATTCTATCTCTTCTGTAAGCCAAATTCATTTCTCACATCGCATTCCTATTTGCATGTTCATCTGATCGGTCGCTCGTTCCTTCGCTTATTTGCCATGTTTCGTAGAGTCGGTGCAATTAGGCATTGTTCAAAGCAAATATCCGCATCACATTATCGCTGGCTGGCTGGCTGGCTCGTTTAGCTACAAATCCTTTGCCCTGCTTTATGCCTAATGCTATTACATTTTCACACAACTTTCAGTTAGTACCTTTCAATTCCAATGAGCCTATTAAGTCACAATGAAACGCCTTGGGTTCATTATGCACTAATCGGTTGAAAATTTGCTATACACTGCTTGAGTTAGATGGAGCAATGCTTATTATAGTACCACATCGTTTTCTCTAAAAAATGCAAGTAGGATGTCATTCCCAGTGGTGTTCATTTTGACTCTCTAGGAAAGTAGTTTACCGTAATGCCACAGAGGAAATATAACGGAGAGATCGGCTTCCCCAATTCTAGCAATGCCGTCACTGGATATATTCAGGCATAGCGGATTACTCTTTATGGTTAATTCGACTGATCTCGGATAATTAGTTAATCATCAAAGTGATCAAGCATTCGTTGCGCACTGGTTCGGTTCCAGCGGCATTCGTGCATACTATGCACAAAGCGTGTACGTATGCCTCTGCATTCGAGGAAAAGGAAATAGTGGTAGTGAGAAAGGGGAGACATGACAGAACGATTCTGTGTTGAAGGACGGGGGCTACAGACGTCGGCATATTCTCCCCACACCCCGCAGACAGACTAGCTGCATTGAACGCAGTCGCTCCTTCGGCACGCGCTATGACTGCTCTCGCCGTGGTTTCTCCACTCAGGTCAGTCTTTCCGTCTGTCCGGCTATCTTCCTGTGTGTGCCGCTGTCACTTTCTCTGCACCCCATTCTATTCATTGCACTGCACTGCCTTGTCTCCTTCCACCGCAAATACTCTATTGCATGCTTATGCCCTTCCTCTTCGTAGAACCCGACAGCAGGCAGATCTGAAGCTCTCGGTTCGTATCTACCTCGGCGCCTTAGGCAGATCGGAACCACTGAAAATGGAGACCACGAAGAGGCCTTAGAACAACCACGTCCTCAATCGCTTACACCGCCTGCAAGCACAGACCCTGAGGGGGCTGCATCACCTCAACCTCATCCGCCTCCTCCTCCCATGCGCTTTACGTACCAACAGAATCAACGTCAAGTACGCACTGGGTTCTGGCAGAACTTGTTAAATCGACGTTTCTCGTCGCCACACCCACCACCGCCTATGCCAGTGCCGGAGGTGGAATCGGAGATGGAGCGAGGTACGTCGCAGTGGCCGCCTCGGCGGACCCCTGAGGATGCGATCGCGGGTGAGGTTTCAATGCGTGAACCCTCAGCCAGCGTTTTTGGCCTCAAGCCTGTTCTCTCTCGCGTGTCCTCCATTGAATCTGATGCTAGCGAGCTACTTGGAGAGGCGCCCCCATCCAATAGTGGCGGCAATGCTGCAACATCGCATCGGCATTTGCAGCAAAAACAACATCAGCAGATTTCACGAAGTGGTAGGTTTTAATTCACCGGGTTTCCTAAATTGCCAAATCAGTCATGCCCCTCTTGAAACAAAATTAGTTGCATTTTAAAGCTTTGTATATTCATAGAATCAATCACTGCCATCATTTGATGAAACTAGTATACAGTTCTAGGATTTAAACAAACTTCTTTTCTCTTTAGCCTGTGCAAAATCATTAACACCCCAGTATTTTGCAATCAGATCTGCTCCTTTTAAGTGGAAGTCAGCTCTTTTCTTTAAATTGTCAAGATAAGTAAAATTAATAAAATAATAGCAGATAGTCTGAGGATTGAAGTTACCTTACTTCTCGATTTACAACGCCTCTTCTGTACCATCCCAAAATCATCATATTTGCTCATTTAGTACTTTCTCTCTTAAAATCGGTTGTACGTTGACTCCATGATTCTTTATAGAATCAAATGTAAGACTTACAGTTACCCCACTTTTTGTCCGTCGATGTTTCCCTGTACCACCTTAAAGTGGCAGAATAATGCAG